GATGTCATAAGTAACCTGTGATATGTCTAGATTGCATTCTTCACGTGAAAATGTACGGCAAAGTTAAGGCGGTACGACCGGAAATGCGTATTCCGGGCTTCGGCAGCTTCTTCTGAAAACTGGCCAATAGGTAAAATGGCATTTTCGCAAATTATTGCCCCGTGTAATAAAATTTTATGCATTGTGGGGCTCATACGGTGCCACCCATACAAATCCACGTACAGTTTTGCCGTTTCCATTGCATACTCATCAAACTCTTGGATGCCGCTTGTGATGGCCTCTAAAATTGTTTGGATTCTACAAATAAAATTTTAATTTAAAAATCGTTATATAAAGGTGAAAATAAAAGTTTGTAGGTGTCACGCTTTGCAATTAATCTTTACTAGGCTCACTGGATTATGGGGTTCGCTCCTGCATCGCTCACCCTACAAACTTCCAGCTCGCCCGTAAAGATTCATTTACAAAAGCTTGACACGTAAATAACTATTATAAGATTTTTAACGTAAATTATAAATTTCTTGATTTCTGCCCAAATTACTTTCAAGTGGAATTTTTCGCAAAGTGGACCAAAGTGGACCGTAATTTTTTCTCAATTTTTAGCTAAATAAATTATTTATCAATTACAAAAAGAAAAAATACTCGGACGGGCCTGGAAAGGTAACATTTTTACTTTTGAAACGGAAAAAAGTATAAAAAGTATGTTAAAAAAGGGTGTATCTTTAATGGGCTATAATTATGCGAAATATTGACATTTATTATAGTATTTCTTTAAGAATTATAAGTAACATACCTGAATTGTCGATATCCATCACATTCACTTAATAATTGAACTTTCATTCACTAAAAAATGACTTTGTAAAATAGTGTTTGTAAGGGTGTCGAGAACGAGTTTAAGCAGCTTGCGCGACGTTCAAGTTTCGACTGATTATTGGGAACGCACATGTTCTGCTGGGACCGTGAAAGGGGTCGTCTATTGTTCTTTCGACTTTCTATTTTTCCCGTAAAGGATTAGTTTTCTTATTAATTAACTTTGAAATAAACCCTTTTTGTCTCCCTAAATCCACGAATTCTACCTATGTGCGATGCAAACCCAAATTATACAATCGAGAAAGGAAGTCCACGATATACAAAAGTCAATGTTTGGTGTGCAGTTTTTTATTATCAAATAATCGGCCCATACTTTATAGAAGAAAATTTAAATCAACATGTTTATTCGGAAATTTTGCAAAATTATGTTTTAAATTTTAAATTTTTAACAGCCTGGAACCAGAAATTAGGCAAAGAATTTTTTGGCAGCAAGATGGATGCCCTGCTCATTCCACTAATTTGGTAGGGCAGTGGTTGACAAACCAATTTGGAGAAAGGTGGATGGGAAAACGAGATAAATTATTCCAAAATAATTTTTTTAGAAATAAATGTATTTTTCATTTATTTAGGCCCGATTTTTCAATATTGCATTTAATTAGTACTTTCGTAAGTTAGGTTCAGTTATATTTAACTAGAGGTAATAAGTATACTAAATTCCGTTTTATCTAGTACAATTTGCAATGTGGATTGATACCAAATACAGTCAGGGCCAGATTTAGCATAGGGCCAGCGGGGCCACGGCCCCAGGGCCCCCACCACTTAGGGGCCCCCACCAATGCAATATGTAGCTTTTTAATGAAACGAATATGGAGAAAATTAGCGAAAAAACAAAAAATTGGGTCGGTTATACCCCGCGAATCCTGTAATTTTCAATTAATTTTTCGTAGATCTAACTCTAATTTTTCGCGGATTTTTTATCGCTTATCCGCTTGCAAATCAGAATGTAAATTATCACACTCAAAGTTTTGGCGCGAAGACGTCATAAGTTATGACTCATATCAATTTTAAGCAGTTGCTCCTTTAGTGCTTGTAACGTTTTTGTAAATACAGGCAAACAGTCAATTACTTATAACCTAATATTAAAGTTAGTTCTTGTCCCAGATTTTTATTGGTAGAGTGCTATGCTCATGGCGGATGACCTTCGGTGCGCAAAAGTCTCAAATCCGTCAAATCGGGCCGACCTAAAAACATACTACATAGGGCCTAGAATGCAGATATTTTTTGACATATTTAGAAAAATTTCTAGGCTACAAATTCTATTATAATTGTTTTAATATTATAGCGTCTCTCAAGGTCAACCGCCATGAGATATTAATATCACTCTACATTAAAGTGTTGTGGAATATTTTTCGGTGTTTCCGAAATACTGTTTCGTGCTTTTCTTTGAACAAAAGATTGTTTTATTGTTTGATTTTGTATGAAAAACAGACAAATAATACTTTTGATGCACTTGTTTTCAGTTTGCGGTAAGTATTAAAAATACAAACAAAACATAGATCAATTTATATTTTACTTGAGTAAAATGTATATAAAGTTATGTTCGTATTATTCAAAATATATAAAATATAAAGTATACAAAAACACTTTCATTCACAATTCTATTCTACTATCTACGTTTTTATAGTTTTGCATACGAATTTATAATTTCTCAAACTTGGGTAAAATGTATATAAGGTTATGTTCGTATTATTTAAAATATACAGGGTGATTCAGACTTGTGGTGACAAAAGCTCAGGGGAAATTCCTCTCATCGAAATATGAAAAAAAGTTCCTATAAACACGTGCTCGAAAATGCTTCATTATCGAGATACAGGGTATTTCGTTTAAAAAAATGAATTTTTTATTTATAGCTTAAAAACGCTTTTGCCGATTTTATTAAAATTTTTATGGTTTATTAAATAATAAATGATTCAAAGATAATAAAAAATCACGAAAGTTCCTCTAGCTTAAAAATTTACCAGGAGTTTTAGTGTCAAATTTTTTTAGAAATATTGAGCGCCCCCACCAAATGTAGGCCCCAGGGCCTCAAAACTCTTAATCCGGCCCTGAATACAGTTTATGCTTTTTTTATCTAATCCTGTTGAGTTTGGGTTATTAAAACTAGTTTTGTTATTACTGGCGTCGGGAATATACTCAAATTTGTTTAAAAAAATCATAAATTGTTTAAATTAAATTTGGGAAGCTTTGCTTTAAGTGTATAAATTTATATACTTAAACGGCCATTTCAAGCGCGCGAAACGCACGAATTACAAAATTGTTTTTATAAAAAAAATTGTAGATTATTTATTATATAATATTTTGGCATCAAAATTGTCAAAAATATTCTTCTTTTATTAGGTTATACATTAAATTAAAAAAAAACGCAAGAAATATTTTATGAAAGTAGATATAATTTTAATAATTGAAAGGTGTGGACGGGACAAAAAAAAGATTTATCTTGTCCCGTCCACCCCTGTCAATTATTGAAATTATCTCTACTTTTATAAAATATTTCTATTTTTTTTACTTGATGTATAGCCTAATAATAGAAGAATATATTTGACAATTTTGATGCAAAAATAATATATTATAAATTACCTACAATTTTTTTTATAAAAACAGTTTTGTGATTTGTCCCCTCCATCCGCTTGAAATGGCCGTAAACCGAAACTTCCCAAATGTAATTTAAACAAAATATGATTTTTAAACAAATCGTATAAATTTGATTCTATTTCCCCTCAAGTTTCTATTTATCCCGTTTTACGGTACTGTACATTTGCAATAAGTAGATATACTAAATTCCGTTTTATCTAGTACAATTTGCAATGTCGATTGATACCAAATACAGGTTATGACTTTTTTTATCTAATCCTGTTAAGTTTATTAAAACTAGTTTTCAAAAAATAAACTTTTTTGTTTAACAAAATTTAGTTTTCAGGGGTTTTAAGGACAAAAAATTTTTTTTTAAATCAATGTGCGATTTTTCCTAAAAAAAAGTGTTTTAAACATAATTCTGGTTAATTTCTGGAAAACCTAAAAGGGTTTCTACAGAATACTGGACACCCTGGTTAAATATATAGTATATTTTAAGTTAGTATTCATTATACACATGTCCGAGGTCCAACAATTTTTGGACGTCTCAATAAAACTTCGTCATCATCGTCATAAATACTAAAATCTCAATTCAATAAATCCATATTTAAAATTAGCACAATATTAACTGTATTTTTAGGTTAACCACCACTTTACTAATACAAGAAATGGTAGTTAGGGAAACTCAAACATAATCTGTACTTGGATAAATAACTACCAATTGTAAAACACAAAAACCAATTAACTACTAATTAAGTAGTAATTTAATTTTTACTATTAATGATAAAACCGGGCCTTAGATTCTAAATTAACTACTTTCTTTTATAAAATTTTTGTATAAAATAATAAAAAAAGGTACTTCTCTCCTGAGCATTTTCTTTTTTTTTAATTTCTGGACACCCTGTACAATAAAACGGTTTTTTTTAAATCGCAATCTTATTTTTTAAAGAAGCAGGACTTTTTATAAAGAATGACTTTTTTCCTAAAAAAGTTAAAATGTGTTAACGTTGGAGGGGGTCATATCGAATAAATATTTAAAAAAAATATGTATTTCATATTTAGACTTTAAATTAAATTTGCAACGACTTTCTCTATACAATGTTTGTATAAAGTTATAAATAAGGTATACCTCTCTTGAGCATTTTCATATTTTATTAATTTCTGGACACCCTGTACAATGAATCGGTTTTTTTAAATTGCACTCTCATTTTTTAAACGCATAATAAAAAAGTTTTACCTATAGGTAACTCCATCCAGGGACACACTGTATAAATACATATTGTATACCTTGTAATGTAATATAACTTTAAATATTTAAAACCGCCTCTTTTGGGTCAAAATTTTACAAAAACCTAATGTAATAGAGCCCGAATTTAGATTTGGTACTCAAAAATGGTTAACTATTATTTTTTTTAGTAAGAAGTGCCCTAACGTTTTTTTCATTATTTCACAAATACTTTTTGCTGCAAAAGCTTCTTATAATCAACTAAAAATTTCGCTATTGAAATAAATTTACAAATTTTTAATATACAAAAGTCAAAATACTAAAAAACGTCACTTACATTATTTTCCGGATCTGCCATCATTTTGTTCCACTTTTCCATTTTTAGCCGGTATGACTTTGTGAGATAGTTGACCAAAAATTCGAGCCGGTCGTCCTCATCGTCTTCCTTTTTTTTCTCTTCGGCCATGGCGTGCAAGAAGTGTTGCCACTCGCTTTACACCCAACGTGTTGTAAACATGTCAAAAGCTCTTACAGCCTGTTATCAAATAGCAAAAATCATTGCCTGGCAACCGCATCGCTAGTCTGTTATGTTTAATCGATGTTTATTAAGTTTTTATACATGCACTAAGCACTTTTAAACATTTCCAATACCTAGCACCTTTCATAATTGAATCGTCTAATTTCAAAAGCGGCCATCTCCAATTTTTTTTTTTAATAAGTTATTTATACTAATAAAATCGAAATATTACGTAGTAGGTATATTAGTGCAAAATTATATCCCAACAAAAACGGCTATTTGCAAGGAAAATAATTTTTAATGCAAATATTATAGTGTCTAAAGCTTGTTTTTATATAAAATACGATAGTTCAAGTTATGTTAAAAATTATGGATATTTTATGAAGTGAAAATATTATTTACGAGTTGTATTTTACATGATTATGTAGACCTGTGTTATTATTATTAATATTATTATAGTAAAACAAAGTCGTAAAGTCAGGCCTGGATTTATGATCTGTGGGATCCTAGGCTAAACCTGTGGCTCGAGGCCTACCGGGGCATTTTTAAGAATTATCCAATAACATTTTAAAAACTTACTGTTTCAAGTTTATAATTAATTAATAGGAACTTTATGTACGACATTCCTATTCGGTATACAATTTGATAAATTTATTAGATGATAAAAATGAAAAGGACTAAACATCATTCAGGAAATATAATGGTATTTAACATGATTTATTAACAAAGATAAGATTCCAGTCTAAGTAGGCAAATTTGAGTATTACAATTTTAAAAATAACATACTTAAACATGTTAAAAATGCAAAATGCAATATATCAAAAAGGAATGTAATGAACAAGCAAAAGAGGCCTATTCCCTTTCGCTAAACATGCATGTTCATGAACTAGATATGTTTCGTAACATATGAGCCTATTTCCTTTCAATTATTTCGTTTATAGACGCATGCGCTCGAAGAATTTCTTAAACATCCATGTTTATAAACATCATCTGTGTTAAAATGGCTATTCCGTTTCCAAAATTCGATTTTGGTGAACATACTTGATGTTTGAAAACGTATGTTTATGAACGCTTGCCTGAGAGCCTCTCACCCAGATAGCACAAAGGTATACTATGGACGTCCAATGAACGTATGCTCGTGGACGTCTGTATGTACATAGGATGTCCATTTTTTTTCTATGGACGTCCCATGGACATCCGTTTAGAGTCCAGATGTCACAACTTTGGACATCCATAAGTCGTCCACCGATGGACGTCTATAAGGTGAACCATTCCTCCAGCATCCAGGACCTGCTTTTTTGCTTACTTTAACTGTTTTTTGCGACTGTATTTTCATTGCGATGTTGCAGAAAATTTTCTACAACATGACTGAAATGCCTTTTGTCTGGCTCAGCAACAAACCCACTAGGAATATAAATATTCCAAAAGTTGTTAAAAGTTACAACATTCAATGTTGAACATTGCGGGAAATCCTTGTATTCGACTCAGGAACATTACATTTGCAATACTACAAGTGTTTAACATTTCATTGATAGCTTAAGTCCTTTATAGCACGCGCTTGCTTGAATGTCAGTGAGATTGATCATAACTGTTGTTATGCAGCCAACAATACGTTTTAACTTGCATTTCTGTAATAATAATTATGGACGTAAAATGGACACTATATGGACGTCCATTAAAATCGTACAAAGGATGTAAATATATGGACGTACATAGTACATCAATTTTTAGTCCGTGGACCAATGTACTTAAAATGGATCTTAAACGGACGTCCATTGGACGAAGGGTGCTATCTGGGCAGTGAGAGGTGCTGTTAGACAATATTTGAGGTTTTTTATTATAAATGATAAATAATTATTTATAATTGAGAATAGGACAAATCATATAAGGTTTCACACCAAACAAATAAAAATATATTTTTTGGTAATTTTAAAAATATGTTTATGATTTGTTTTTTAATTATTAAAATGTATTTCCTAATTATAATAATACCAGAATACAAATTTTGCTTTACTGATTTTTTTATTTTATTATAATAATAATAAATATTTATTTATATATATATTTTAAACAGAAAATTAAAAAAATCTGAGTGTGAAGAGAGAATTTGGGGGGAGGAAGGTCAAGACTTGGTACAAATGTCTAAAAACGACCTCTAAAACTATATATATATTGGTAGAATAAAAAATATATTTTATTAAAAAAATACAACAAATATAAAATATCAAATACCTATGTTATATTCCCAGACAGCAATATGACGTCTTAATTAAGTCTGCATAAGCTCTATTTTATGATTTGGACGTCAAATACAATATCAGAAAGAAGTTTTTAAGAAGTTCTTAAGACTTCGAATGCGCCACCTATTGAACTAATCAAGACTTCTCAAAAAAGAACTCTTGAGGAACCATTTTCTTTGACTTCGCTATTAAGCATTATAAAAAGACTTCTTTAGAATTTCCAGTTTTGGATATAGAAGTACTACTAGGGTACTGATGAAAAAATTACATAATGGATCGTTGCTTATTTTGACATGTCATGTTTAATTACCATAGAACAATCGAATTTGTTAAATTGATTTTATTAAAATCATTTTAATAATTTGCTTGCATTCGCTTATTTTTGGAATTGCGATTACTTCGTCTCACTTTTGTTTAAATTCAAGCGTGCTCTTTACCGGCACCAATAGACGGCCTGTTACGCTCTTTTGAAGCTCGTCAATATCGGGTAGCCGTTTACCTAGGTCTAAGACCGTTTGGTATGGTGCACGCTCTAAATTCTACTTCGCCGCTTCTTATATCAAACACAAGCAGTTACAGCGGTGAGAAGAAAGTAATCGCATTAAAATGTGACGTCTCCATGTTGACGTCTTAAAAAGTTAATAATATGATGTCAGTAAGAAGTAAGAAAAGAGAATACTGTAAGATATCATATAACTGAAGTCTTATTTATGATACCCTTAGTCGCTTCTAATTTTGATTACAATAAGAGGTCCGAAAAAAAGATACTTTTAGATGTTAAAAAATTGACTTCTCATTTATGAATTTATCAAGAACTCTTAGCTCTTAAGCTCCTAAAAATGATTTCTTTAAGATGTCATATTGTGACCTCGGTAAGATGTTTTCAACAGACTTCGTACAGAAATCTTTCTGAATTGGATGCTGTCTGGGTTATTACTCAAAAATATAGACAAAATATTAATCAAAGAAAAGTATAACTAATAAAATACACAAAATATGCATCTAAAAACACTTTTTCTTCACATGGAAGCTAAAACTTTTTGGTTTAATTTTAAAATCTTTTAGGTTTTATCAATACCTTGTAAAACCTTCACTACTCGTCAGAGTTTGAGTTGGACTTTCTCTTTATGCCTCTCTGTTGTGTAAAGGCTGGCCAATGAAGAGTTCCAACCCTTTTCCATATAAGGATGGACTTAATGGCCCCGCCAGAAGATCTGTGCTTTGGCTAGTTCAGCATAAAACGTTTTTCCCAAGTATTTTTAAATATTGTGGATTGTTGTTTTTAAGTTCATTTAATATATATTAAATATCACCAATAATTTTTAAAACAATTATCTAACACAATGTTAGTTTACGATCTGCGACTTTTAGGTTATAAAATAAGATACTCTCTGTCCTAAAAACATTTATCGCTGTTCAGAAAGATTCAAGGTCAAGACTTTCAACATATGAGAAACATAGGCGATGTTTGGGTTGTCGTTGGGTGAACATACATGTTAAGAAATCGATGTTTACGAACAGCAAGAAAGGAAATAGGCCTCTTAACCTATAAAACATACATAAATTACGTTAGATAATATTTTTTAATTCAATTTCAAACATTTCAATTAAAACAAAAGTATATTCACATAATTCTAATGGCTAATTTGTTTACGCACACACTTCGTAATAATGAAGCTACTACACAGTTAAAAAATCTTAATTAATTAATTTTAACCAAATAATAACCAGATTTTATGTTAATCCTGTTCCACATAACTTTTTTACACTTTCAACAAACTGTAATCTGTTAACTGAGTAAATAAGTATTTATAATTGTTACAGACATTTTTGGATCTAATAAAAAATTTTAAGTCAAAAATTCAACCATAATTCTTGTAATTTTCAAAAAGGACCTTATTCTTACAAACTTTTTTGTAAAAGTATTTGTTAAAATTGGGAACTTAAAAACAAATAATTTTAATAAGAAATGTTGCTTTATTAATTATTATAACCTAAACAAAAAATGGACATTTACCTACAATGTAGCTCCTTTAACCCACTTCACTGTATCCCCTAATTTCAGTTTGAAAACTAATTTTTTCGGATACTTTGCACTACGCTCACTCGTTACACAGTAAAAAATATTTGTTAATTTTAACCAAATATTAACCAGATTTTATGTTAATGCAGGTCCACATAACTTTTTGTTAAGTTTACAACCAACTATAATCTGTTGGCTAATTGAATAAGTAGTCAGGGCCTATTTTACCTAAAGGCCCATAAGGCCCGGGCCTTGGGCCCGGAGGAAAATGGGGCCCGAAAAAAGCCCTTGAAAAAAAATTATAAACCATTTTAATTTAAATTTAAAATAAAGCCATACCTATTTTATAAAGAAAATTAAATATTAAATAAAAGTGGCTTAGATTGGTATAATAACGATATTGATATTATACCTATATAATTTTAGTTAGATTCAAAAACATAAAACATCGGCGGTCTCTTTTACGGCGTTTTTGTTTATGCCGCTATAAGTACCGACAAATCTTTTGCTGACGAATTACGAATTACGAATGAAAAAGCTGTCCGAACTCCGAAATTTAACTTAAGGTAAGTTATAATTATTAATTAATATATTATTTTTGTATATGTTACGGCTAATGTGCAAACTTGGATAGTTTATAAACTAGCTGGATAGTTTATAAACTAGCCAAACTGTCAGCTATTTTA